CCTTTCATTTTCATGTAATAGAGATCAAATTACTTCTTTTATCACCCAAAGAAAAATTATGAAATACATTAAGATATCATGCATATTTGTAGGAATTCAAAGCTACAAACTTTGAACTTTTCTAAGCTATCAAACTTAGAAAAGTATTCATTCTATTTAACAAATTATGTGTAAGACAATCTGGAAAAAGAGGTCCACTACAAGGGTCCTTACCTTTTACCTGTTCTCTATTTTCTATCTCCAAAATCGTAGATCCGACTTTTGCAACCTAACGTGCCCTTTTCTTATGATTGAAAAGGTGACCCATGTCCTCCTGCCTGCACTGATCTTACAGCTTCTCTTTCTGACTGCCATATTTAATTGACAGGACTCAACATCTACAAAGGCCAGTAGCAGGTAACAAATCAGGACAACCTCCCCCAAACCAAATAAGCTCCAGGAGGCCCCTACCAAACACCTGTCCCTGGTAGGTACAAGGGTTTGACATCTCACACCAAGAGCAAAAGCTGTGCCAATTTTAAAAGCTTAGGAACTCTTGGTCTGAAACATATTAGATATTATACAGGATACCTAGACATAATGAATGTCTCCTTTACACAACCAGCAACATGGTCCCATGGGGAGGGGAGGGAATCCCTCATCTGTATTCACAAATCAGAAAGAAGACAACAAAATATGGGGACCTTTGACAAGTGTGACTGTGGTTGGGGGCTTCCTTACTTTTTTTAATTAGCACATAACTTCCTATCAGTGGGGTTCACTGTGACACTTTCATACATTCATAGAGCATGTACTGATCAGTTCCAGCCAGCCTTTGTTTTGCCCTTTTCTATTTTTCATTTCTTTGGGTTTCCCATGTTTTCTTATAATTATAGAATATCCTGAAGGTACAATCTTTTAAATAATTTAACAATATACCGTGTCTTCCTCCCCCCACAAAACCACCTTCGCTTTGTAGAACTGCGTGTCAAGGATTCTCCTCTAACTTTGAAACTTCTCTAGGCTTCCCATTATATAATCATATTTTAAAACAATAACATTATTTAACAATAATTCTAATAATAATAACTTAAGCTCTTTGATTGCTTGCATGTTTTTTCAGATAAGGTCTCTTTAGGCATCTAGGCTGACCTTGGAACTCCCAAACTCCTATCCTACCTCCAGAGTGCTGGTATTGATTGACAGGCATGGGCCACCACATGTAGCTTTGTTTCTTTTTAATCTCTCAGACAAGCTATAGCTAGTAGCTCCATATGGCAGATTCTGGGAAAATGCCAATTTCAAATACTGTTTTGCCAAATTTATCAATGAAACATTTCCCAGATATCAACAGCCTGGATCCAACAAGGCATTGAGGAAAATAATAAAAAATAAAAGAGAAAACAAAACTTACTGCTTTCTCAGAAGCCTAACACAACTGCATTTACATGCTACGCCTCACCCTGTATTTACAGTTACAACCACAGAATATACTCTGGTTTATATACAAACCATCTGCCACATGTTTCCACAATTTGGAAGAACTACTTAATATTTTGCTATATTTATAACTCAAACTTATCACATCCCTTTTTTACTGTTAGGCCTCTACCTAACAATAAGAGTAAAAAAGGTCTCTACCTTTTTTTTTTCTTCCATAATAAAAAGTCTGCAAAGAACATTTTATTGGCACTTACCTTTACTGTATTCATGAATGACTAAGCTAATAGATATGAAAATCATTATCATACTGACTACATTTGAGGAAAATTTAAAGCTTACGCAGCTGGCATTGCCAATACTGGCTCTGCTCTTGACCTCCACCAAGAAATTTAAACTCTAAGTCCACTCTATAATTTCTAAAATAAGAATAATGCCACCTGCCCTGGTAGTAAATCTGCTGAAGGTCAAACTGGTTGATGTGGTACAAAGGTGAAGTTCTACAAATCTGAGCTGTTGTGACTGGTAGATGTGCTATTTGGAGATCCCAACTCAGATTCCCATTGCCTCATCTATCTATTTAAAACTCTGGGACCTTCAAAGTACTACATGGAACTGATAGGGATGTTTTAAAACTGACAAAGAGGAGTCCCCTGAAAGAAAAGGAGAGGGGCACCACTAGAGCTCAGAGTCACAGCAGGAACCTGGCACAGGCTTGCTTTAGGACCTGAAGAAGTTCTGGAGGGGCTAACAGGACTGGGTCTTGAAGGATGGAATTAGAAGGACAGTTAGAATGGGGTAAATTCTGATGAGAGTGAGCTATTAAAAGGGGATAGCATGTTCTGGGAAGGATGAGAAGTCTGTAAGGCCAGAGTATAGAAAAAGAGGTAGGAGGTCTGAGGCTAGAGACAGAAGCTGGGTCCCAGTTACAAAGGGCCTCATACACTAAGCTAAAGAACATGGACCTCATCCTTTGAGCAAGAAGGGACTACACTAATTCAGTAGCCAGAGGAAAAATGACCAGCTTGGCCACGGCGGACTGATATGTGGGCTTGGAGTGGAGGAGGATGACTAGGAGAACTACTCAGGTGACAAATGACAACAAGATTGCAGCAAATGCAGAGAAACCTGATCTTTCTTCAGACCCATTCTTATCTGTTAAGAATTCTCTCTTCCTGAAGATTAAAACAACAAAATAGAAGGATCAGTGGAAAGAGTTTAAAAATAAAAGAGCAATCTCAACTCCATGTTTCCTATTGTCTCAATCCTCTTGTCTGCTATGACAAAATAAATGCCTTAGACCTGGTAATTTATAAATAGCAAAACTTTACCTCCAGAGAAGGTAATTTGAAAGACGTGTGCAAGGGTAAGAGGGTGAAGGTGTTCTGATTACATAAAAATTTTAGCTGTGACCTTAGGCTCCAAGTTTAAGGTAGTATGTGTAAGGAATGGCCAGTGATAGTCCCCCACATCTGAGAAACTCAACATAGGTATAAATTTCCTCCTCATGTAACTGCATCTGAAGCTTGAGGAGCGTCCTCTGTGTAGTCCTCGCTCCACCTTCATGACTTGAAATCTTCTTGAAACTATGTAAGTTTCATGCTTTGTAATCATTTGGTAAGAACAATCCATTTGTCCCTGGATATGTAAGACTCCGTGCTGAACAGAGCTGAGCTTACTGGCCGAGTTACAGTACAGGGGGCCAGTAAGTGCAGCCTCAGCTCATATACCACATACTGCACCAAAGTCACACCTCATGGGAAGTCTGCTCGCTTTGAGGTAATGAGACTTCTGATATCCTCCTAAGTAATTATTCTGACAGCTCAAATTTCTCTTGAGTTTTGAAACAAGTAACTCACACCCTTTTAAATGTGTCACCTAAGTTATGTGTCCTTGATGTACTACATCAAGTCCACCTGTACACTCTGATCCATGCTCAAACACCAGAGTGAAAACTCTGGAGCCTTCACTTTCCAGGCTATGTGTGTTCATGAAAACTTTTTTGTTCTTCTGCCTTTGTCAGATAATTTTTTAAATACTCAATGAATATACTAAAACTCAACTCCGTGTAGAGTAAGTGCAGACCTGAACATGTAACCACAGCCTGTACCTTATCTATGCACACACAAACACACAAAAATCCAAAAATTATTATGACCTGTTTCACTAAAAAATAACTTTCAAAGTAATATTATCATCTTACTATTTTTCATAATGATTCAACTAACACATAAAATCATTTTACTTCTGTTTTTTTTTTCTTTTTTTTTCATTTTACTTCTGTCAAGTTCAAATTTTTTCATAACCTTAGGCCTTTTGAGATATGACACTAAAAACATTAAGTAACCAAAGAAAAAATTGGTAAACTGTACTTTTATCAGATAATAAAGCTTTTGTACTTCAAAAGATACCATTAAGAAAATGAAACCTACAGAATGGGAGAAAATATTTGCAAATCATGTACCTGGATAAATGTGCAACATCCAGGATAAAGAATTCTTACTTCTCAACAACAGACAGACAACACGATTTTAAAATGGGCAAAGGATATGAATAGACACTTCTCCAACAAAACCTATCATCAGTGAGCACATGAAAAAATACTCAGCACCTTTGTCATTATGAAATCCAACCCATGAATAACACTTCATGCCCTTCAAGGATGGCTACTGAAAAACCAAAAAACAAAACCAGAAGAAAGCAAGTGTTGACACAGTTGGGGGAGAACTGGAACCCTCACATATTGCTGGTAGAATTGAAAAATGGTATGAGCACTTTATAAAACAATTTGAGGGTTAGACAATGGCTCCACAAGTCCTTTAGTTCAAACCCCAGTACCAAGAAAAAAAAAGTATTACCAGCAAAATTCTACTTCTAGGTAAGAAAAAAGATATGTCCATACAAACTTACAAATAAATGATCAGGTGCTCATGGCAACATTATTCATAATAGCCAAAACAGCAGAAACTACTAACTCAAATGTTCACCAACTGGGGCTGGGAGAGTAGTTCAAGTGGTACAGTGCTTGTCTAGCAAGCATGAGTCCTGAGTTCAAACCTTAATACTAGTGACAAACAAACAAAAAAACAAGAAGTGTCCACCAACTGATGGTTAAGTAGAATGTGGTATGTCCATATAATGGTCTATTATTTGACAATAAAAGGCACAGATGAAACTTGAAAACATGTTAAGGGAAAGAAGCCAATTACAAAAGGTCATACATTTTCTTTTTATGAAATGTCCAGAATAGATAAATCCACAGAGACAGAAAACAGATTAGTGGCTGCCAAGGATTGGGGCAATGAAAAATGTTCTAAAATTAGACAGTGGTGATAGTTGCATAACTGTGAATATACTAAAACCCACTGAATTGTAATGGTGGATTTTATGGTGTGTGACTTATGTCTCAATAAGATTATTAAAAATAAATTAAATTGCAAAAAAGAAAAGAAATAGCGTTTAGTATAGGATTAATTTCCCTTACTGAAAATGTTTAGGAACAGAAATGTTACAGATTTGGGCCTTTACTGGATTTTGGAATATTTGCATACACATGAGATGCCCTGGGCATGGGACTCCAGTCTACACATAAAAAATTCATTTCTTTCATATACATTATATACACAGCCTGAAGGTAATGTCATATGGTATTTTTAGTGAGCCTGTGTTTTAACTGCAACCCATAAAAGTGAGATCAGACGTGAAATTTTCCACTAGTAGCGTCATATTGGCCCAGAGTTTGGGGTTTGGAACATTCTGCGTTTCATATTTATTAATTAGGGATGCTTAACTTGTATGTGCTAAAGCAAAAACAAAGATCAAGAAAACCAAGGCACCATCAGCTAGGCAGGCCATCTAACAGGGAGTAACAGAAACCTGTTCCAGTGAGGACAGTTACAGAGCTACCTCAAAATTCACTCAGCCACCACCCACTGGGTGAGGCAAACGGAGCCTTGGGAAGACAACCCAAGGGTTCCCGCTTTCATGGAGCTTATATCTCGTGGAGTAAAGCCAAGAGTGGTAATCACATTATGTGGGCACGTGAGTATTTAACAAAGGTTAAGTGTTTTAAGGGGAAGGGACACACAGCTTCACTACAGTTTAACAAAGGTTCTGAGCCAGAGTGAAGAGAGAGAACAGAGTCCCTGAAGAACTAGAGTGAAAATAGGAGGGATTTAGACAAGAAGAAGGAGGGGGCTGAAGAAAACTGTAGATGCAAAGGACCTATGGCAAGAGGAGAAAAGGCACGTAAGCAAGCAGAGAAAGACTTAGTGTGGCATGCACTGGGACTAAAGAGACAGCGGCCAGGGGTGTGGTTCAGTAGTAGAGGATTTACCTGGCATACATGAGGCACTAGGTCCAAGGAAGAGGGAAAGAAAAGGAAGGGGGAGAAAAAGTGAAGAAAGAGGGAAGGAGAGAAGGAGGAAGGGATGGAAAAAGAATTTTTTTTAAATCCTGGGAGGGGCAATTCAATTTTATTAAAATAATATTAAAAATCCCTAAGAATCATCTATTTGATGATAAGTCTACCAGATATTACACTATAGTTAGAATTAATTTTGTCTGCCATACTGAAATGAAAGCATCCAAGGCCTGGCTCAGAGCAGAGGCTCAAAAACATTTGAGAATGAACAAAAGTCCCAGGTTCTAACATTACTGACCACAGATCCTATGCAATGTTATGAATTTACCAATCAGAAACAAAGGGCAGGTAAGGTGCATAATTATTGGTTCAAGTTTTTTTTTTCCAAATTCTAAAAGTTAACCAGTTACAAGGAAATCTGGATAATCAAAGGGGGAAGGTGGCCAATACAAGCTATTAATGAAGTGCATATTAAAAGAATTTTACGTTATCATTATACATCTACCAAAACATCAAAAATATTTTTCCCACATCATATCCAAGCAAGACAGAAGCAGGGAAAGGGAAAAAGATGGTAAGATATTCTTGGAGGCATATTCTTAGTGGTGGCCACAGTAGTTCTGATTTCCTGAAAAGCAAACAGCAAGATTTAACAAGCTCTATAAAACAGTTCATAGTCTATAACTTCAGACTCGATCCTCTTTATGAAATAAACCTCAAGGAAACAGATGATTCAAGGGGGAAATTAAGAAACTTATAGGTACATGGCCTAACACTAATAATAATGAAAAACTGAAACCATTTTAAGGATAGGATGAAGCAAGCTACAGATTATCAATACATAGTATACAGGGCTGTGGGTGGAGCTCAGAAGAGCAGCACTTGCCTAGCATATGCAAGGTCCTGAGTTCAATCCCCAGTACTGCAAAAAAGAAAAACAAAACAGAACAAAAGGATATAGATTCCACTGAGACTTTACATACATTATTTCTATATTTCAGAACTTCTCAAAAAGCAGGAAATAGTCAAACCCAATTATGACTATGTAAAAAGAGCTGTACATACTCTGCCAAAGACATAAGTGGAGAAGGCTACAAAGTTTGTTCAAAGAAAGTTTATTAAATGACCTGTGTTTGTGAAAGCCGAATGCTCTGGACCTGCAGAAGCAGAAAATAAGCATTTGGCAGCTGCTCTGCAGATCCTTCAGTAGAGATTCTGTGCATGCCAATTCCAGACACCTGCGGAAAAAGAGAGACACGCTCCTAGTAGACTCTTAGCATGGAGTTGCCATACCTCCCCCCAAAAGGAATATGCATTCAACATCATGGCCTGTTGATCCAATTACTGTATTTCTTTGTCTACAAAAAAACCATGATAAACGTTGTGTTTAAGTTGAATGTTCCCATTGTAGCAGATCTTTTCACAAGTGGACAAGCCTTCTGATAGGGGACCGTATGTTTAGTGGAATCCGATAAGAATTAACCACAAAAATGATAGCCTTGGCACTTAAATTATGTAATACCACATCCTTCTCTTGATGTCCCACATACCACACTTAAAGATTCCTAGCCATTTTTGTAAACACTATGATAATTCATCAGCTTCCTCCTGGTACCTTGATATGAAGAATGGTATAAAGGTGAGCTCCCTGGAAATGAACCCCCCACACTCCCCAGCCCACCATCAGTGTCTCCTAACCAGAAATATTCCTGAGCCAAGGAGGGAAGGTGGGAACTACCACCAGGGATGTCCTATGAACTTCCTCCCTCTAACTGGCTTGTGTGCTAAGAGAATGCTAAATTTTATACTGGAAAACTGTGTACAGTAAATCACTTTGTTTTGTTTCAGTTCCCTTCAAAAGCCCAGGGAGCATTACAACTCTGATGTCTATACTAAAGACAGCCAAGTGTGGCACATGAAGCAGAAGGATCAAAGTTGACCAATGTAACATCATTAACAGGCTCATATTTTAATAACATAAACCAAGTGGCAAACTTTCCAAAAGCCTTTCTAAAAATATCCAAATCCTTCTGTTTAGTCAACAACCACATTGTGTGTCCAAAGGAAAAGTTACTCACGCGATAGGAAAGGACTCCATATGAAGAGGTATTAATAAATAAAGAACTTTCAATGCTTCCTTCTTCAGTAGGTAAAAAAATAATTCTGAAGGAAGTTTTCTCCATTGCTGGAATTACCTGGGAAAAAGGTACAAATTAGCTATTTGGAAGGGCCTCCTTTGGTAAACTGTCTTTCAGTGATTTTCTTTTCAATCATTTCCATAAAGAGGTATTTGCATATTCTATACCCCTGATTTATCAGAATCATAAAACCCTGACCAACATCCAGTAAGAACATACCAGCAACGAAAGGCAAAATCGTTGCCAGGTACTCTCCCTATACATTGGAGTCACAGGTCTCCCGTCTTTTCTGTCCCTTCTTTTCATACCCACATGTCCAATTCTCTTTATCTAAGCAATTCTGTCTCTACCTAAATACAGAGGATGACCAGTGTACAAACATGCTGATGTGTGATAAAAATTAGGTATAATGTTTACCTGTACAAACTGTCACAAACGACACACTGGGCTTCCCCCCTTCAACATTTCCTTAGTCCCAGTATTGTGCAAAAGTCCATTAATATCAGATAGGAACAGTAAGCAAAATAAGTTAAGGCATGCTAGTAATGAGAGTCTTCATTAAAAGTTAAGGCCATGGCTGGAGGCCTGGCTCAAGTGGTTCAGTGCCTGCCTAGCAAATGCAGAAACAAATTCAAACTCCAGTACTGCCAAAAAAAGAAGTTAAGGCTCCTGAAAAAACTATTAGAAGACTAGGGGTTTTGAGCTCTGTGCAAGTTAGTTTTATAAAGAGTCATTACTACCTTTATTATTTTTGGAACAGGGGCTTACTAAGGAGCTCAGGCTGACCTTGAACCTGCCTCAGCCTCCAGAGCTGGGATTACAGGTATGTACCACCATATCTGGCTACTCACTACCTACTAGTCTTACATTTGGAAAGAAGTCCTAGCTTCTTTCTTTCTAGAGGTCATGACTATAAACGTCTGTTAGTTATCAAATGCCTCACCCTCTGTAGTAATTTCAAAACAATATAAACTTTCTTCCACCATAAAGTCATGTTGAATGTACATACATTACTACCTAGTTTCTTAAAATCATTTTTTCCCATATAGGTACCCAGAGCCACCAAAATTATGAAATGAACAGCAAAAAAAAAAAAAAAAAAAAGAAGAAGAAGAAAAAACATGCTAAAGCAAACACACAGAAGAGAAATGTTTGGGTAGCAGAAAAAAGGGAGACAGAGCAGAAAGTTAAATCTCGAGGCCAAAGAAAGCAAGAGCCCCTGGAAGCCTGCCACAGTGTGGTTTCCAGAGTACATCAACACTCACCCTGCAGTGAACAGGAGGCACATGAAAATGTCTAGCAGCTGTAAACACTGAGTTCACCACTACCTCGTTTTCCCTGCTGGGGTTGTACACATGGAGAATCTTTGCTGCAGGGTGTCCTAGGATCCTAGGAGGGAAAACAAAGAGAAAAGGCAATGTGTACTGTGTATTATCAGTATTACTACACACATACATAGGCTACACACACACTTACAAACATGAACACACATACACACATTTTTCTTTTTCTTTTGGTGCTGGGGATTGAACTCAGGGCCCTGTGCATACTAAGCACATACTTTACTGAGCTACAGCTCCAGTCCACACATTTTTAAACCCAGAAAACTGTCGATGTTCATTACAAAGTTAAAAAGAATCATCAAATCCTGTTGGTAATAAAACCTTTAATCTGCAACAGTCAAACAAACAAACACAAAAACAAAACTCTTTTGTAAGACTCATGCCAACCCACAGGAACATCCTTTTGGTTTCTGTGTTGGAAGAATTCAATCCATCTAGACATTAAATGCTTTTAACAGACAGACAGACAGACAGACACACACACACACTCTTTGTCCTCACTAGCATTTCTCTCTGTCTAGAGTCTCTCATTCAAATGAGTCAGATAAGACTGTATTAAAAGAAAAAGCCTATTTTCTTAGGGTTTGTTTTCTGAGTAATAAATTTAAAGAGGCTCTTTTGGGGGACAGCCTTTTCAACTCACAAAAGACTTTATTTTATTAGGTTTTATAAAAGGAAAACTTAATTGTTGCCTACAGTCATTGTTCTGAGAAAAATGAACACCCTGCAGCATTTTATAGACTTGGTTCCTACCTACTTAAACTATGAGCCTTTTGGAAAGCGCTGATGTAGGCTGTGGCTGCTCCCTTCACAAATACACATGTACAAAAAGGTTTATGTATCATTTCAAGACTTTCTACCAATCTCCCAGTAACAATCTCTACTCTATAGCAAATACACTATTGACACAGGCCTCAAGGTCAATTCTTTCCGGCAGCTCTAACACAGGTGCACAGGAGGACAGGAGCAGGTCTCTGCCCACCCACCTGCACCACCTCCCATGTTCCTTCTAATTATTCACTAGAATTCTCACTGCCCAATACCAAATTTACTCTAGTTCAATGTACTATAACAAAGAGCCTGCAAAAACTGCACCGCAGTCAATTCTCCAGTTTTAATACTCTCAGTGGCAGAGATCCAAATTCTTACTAGTTCTTACTAGAATGGTCCAGACATCAAATTAATACAATTTAATCAAAAACCTTATATTCATTACACTTATGTATCTCTGATTATATTCCGATTTCTCTAATATTAAAAATATGTGCTTTTGGAAAAATGAAATGCATATTGTCTCTCATATAAAATCTGCTTCCCAAAATACCATATTACTACCATCAAATCCTTGGAGCTTTTCTTCTGCCTTTCCCTCCATCTTTAACCACTAGTCTTAATGAAAGATTTAATATATCCAATGAGCATTTTAAAACACAAGCCTTTCGCTGCCACAAATACACACCAGTGTGATGAAAAACTTTGATTCTTCTAGTTCTGAAAACAATTTTTAAAAAGTTCTTTACTCTGCCATAAACATAAAGAATTGCCTAAGAAAGTCCTACTCCAGAGTACTGGACTCATATTTGCCTTTCTTCCCACAATTAAATAAATAAGGACTTCCGTGGATTTAAGTTAATCATATGAACCAATCAGCGAAGGTATTAATATTTATCCCCAAAACTTCACATAACTGAAATGCAAGATTTCTGGTCTGAAAGTACACAAACACAGACTAGAGAAACACACTAGAAGATGAGACTGCATACACACTGCTCTGGGATTCGGGACAGCAGAAGACACAAGTGCTGGCAGAGACTAGCTACCACTCAGCTATTTTTGCTCTATTTTTTTAATTCTATTTTTAAATGCATTATGGTGATACGAATTTCCTTTACTAGTGTCAACTGGAAGACACTATTAATTTAATACTGCAAAGAATGAGTAAAATCTCTTATGATTAACACTTTTAACCTTGGAACCAGCAAAGTGTTAACCCTTAAAATAAGCCCCAAGAAGCAGGCAAAGGGCAACTGAGTAATATGATCTGGATTCAGCAGCCAAAAGGGAAGCCAAAGCTATGAAAAGGGATGGAGTCTGCCCAAGGTCAACAACAACATAAACAAAAGCAAAAGCTGAACCAGAGCAGTGAAAAAAACAGGAGGCGAACTCTCTGGCTAACCTTTTATTCTAATGACTATAAATTATGCCATTTGGTAGAAGTAAGGTAAAACCTGACTAACTTAAATGTGTTCTATTTTGAGCTAAGGTTTGCTCTTACTGAGATTTAAATTAAAAAAAAAAAAAACCTTCAACAAAATGAGATATTGCCATAACCACTGCATCCCACTAACGAGGAACAATAGGGTGAGTGCTGGCTTAGAAATCAGAAGGTTCATTCCTCTACTTCTAGGGAAATAACCTTGAGCAAACCGTCTTACTTCTCACTCAGCAACAAATGTATGAACATTTGTGGCACATGCTCACATACAAAGATAATGGAAAATGATACACACATTCTCAAACAATGCCCACCTGCATTATCCTTCCAGGTTTGACATAAACCTCAAATGATGAGAAATGTCGTTACACATTAGAAATTATGAAAAATTACATAAACTAAGTTGAATCCTCTAAAGGTGATTCAAATGCAAAAATTAGTAATCCTTTCAAATCAAAGCCTTTAACATACTTTGAACATGCTTCTAGCTATTAGGACCAGCAATGAAGGTATATGGCAAATATACATGTATCCCACTGATTTAGAACTTTGGTTACTGAGGAGAAAAAGTATTAGACAGCCAGGATCCTATGAACTGGAATTACTTTCCTAATCTACTTGTGCTTACTACATCCATTTTATCATATCTGCCAATGTATTAATATACACACTTTAAAGCAGCCCTACTTAAAAAATTTCCTTTTACAGTGAAGACCTTGCACAAAAGCAAAGCACTCTCTCAGAATTTGAAATTGGTGACATTATAAATTCTGCTTCCAATAAATTTCTTTATCTAATAATAAAAAGTATAAAACAAAGCAGGTATCTAGAATCTTGTAATGTTTGCAAACTCCACCACTATTTTCTCTCCTCTTTTTACAGAATTTCCTTTACCAAGCTCAACAAGGTATTTTAAACCTCAGATTCCTTTTCCTTCCCTGTAGCTCTAATCTTAGGATTCTCAGAAAGAAGTGGAAAGGAGGAGTAGATGAATAAAGGAAAGCAGAGACCATGGCCCCTTGCCCCAGGTGCTCTCCTGTCACCAGCTTACCTTCACCATCAGCACTTTGCTTACAACTCAGAAAAGTGCTTTGCAAAACTGAACCGACAGACCCAAAGGACCCAGGCTCCCTCAGCAAGCAGAGACTTCACACTCCAAACACTATTATCCCAGCTTTGACCTACTGGCTCCAAGTTCTCTTTTCACTGCTGTCATATCCTCTTCCAGGGAGCTTAGTACCACTTTTTATTCCTTATTCAAAGTCTACAGATGTTCCTTAAATTTTATTTTTAATTGACACATAATTGTACATATTTGTGACATACAGCACAACATTTCAATGTATGTATATACAATGTGTAACAATCAGATCTTATCATTTTGTTCCTTGAGATTAACCAGCAAGGTTAATAACACTTTCACATTTCATTCTGTATCACAGACGAGAATCCTTAAGCTGCCTCCTTTCCATGGCTTCCCCCTACTCCTTTCTTAAATTCTCCAAATTCCCAAATAAGGCCCTCAACAGACCCTCAGGTCACAATTTCTTCATTTTGTTGTTTTCAACATGAAGCACTGTAAGTCATTACAGCTCACTTACTGTCTTCCCCACTTACGTTTCAGTCTTAATCCTAGTAACTGTCAAGCAGCTACTGTGAGTCCTGAAGGCACAGCAATAAGGAAAACTAAATCAAGCTTGAACGAATTCAGAAACTATCAATAATCTGAATTTTTCATTATACAGTGATCTGATGTGTTTCAGAAATACAAAGGCTTAAAATCAACCTCTAAATTCCAATCACTACAAAATAGTACAAGGTATATTTATTAAAATTTAAGGAAAGGGGGACTAAGGATGTCGCTCATTGGTAAAGCACAAGCCTAGTATGCACAACGCCCCAAGTTCAACTGCCAAGACTGTAAAAATACATATACACACAAACTTAAAACCTAAATACAGGGCTAAAACAACTCTTACACTAGACTTTTCATGAAAATATTCCTTTTAACAAGTCCCAGGATCAATATCTCTTCATATTACTAATATGCTTAAAATTTAATATTGTGTATATAAATGTACATATCAATATGAAAGACATGATGAAAATAAAAAAACAGAAATAAAATTAGTTTCTTAATTATAAAGAACAGATACTTACTGTATTCCAAAATCTAGAAATGATGGCTGAAAATGTAAGCCTTTTCCACTAAATAATTTCTCGGAGAAGCTAAAAGAGGAGAAAAGAAAGATTACTTTTGATGTAGTTTAAAATTTGGATACCAAATTCATTTGGATGACTCTCAATTTCGCTTTCTTAGAGATGAATCCAAATTAAGATTTTAAATGAAGAAATTGAATTATTAGAACTCCAGTAAAATTCTAGAACTGCAAAAATTTAAGACACTTTTAGATTATGGTTAATATAATTTCATATCAAATGTATAAATCTTGTCAGACAGAAATGTGAAAGGATTTAACTTCTAGTAGGCTTCATTTCTGTATGGATACAGATAGCATCACTATATTCATACATCCCAAATTAGCAAAAGGCATCTATCTAAGGTGTGTTTGAGAGAGGACTTTGGCCCCTAAATTTTGTTAAGATTACTAGTGACTGGGAAAGAGCAGTGTGGTGTGCCCAGGGAAGCTCCTGAAAGTTGACATGATCACCAGACCTGTAGAAATAACAACCATTTAAAATCTCATGAGACAAATCACATTTTTAGCAGTTACTAAACCATTCCTGTGATCTCATTTTCCTTCAGAATCAAAGGCCACAAATCAATATAGCAGAAAAACATACAAAAATCATATAAAGAAAACAAGTAAGAGAAAAACAAACATGTACCAAAATATATAAGCACATTTAAAGATTTCTTAGATATATACATACATAGGCAGATGAACTATCAACTGCCATATGACATTTTAAAAGCTAAGCAATCCAAAAATGCCTAACTGGAGAGCTGCTAAAGGTAACATCCATTCTGTTTTCAAAGACTCAAAAGTAGCTTTCCAGAACAGAATCTTCCAGTTCTCTCCTCCTCCAAGTCGCCCTCCACCAAGCTGATCTAGTTATGGACATCTGAGTTTTAAGCTTGCTGGCTAACAAAAGCTTTCTGACCTTCAGCAAGTCCCTCTTCAAAGTCCCCTTTTTCTTGAAAGCACAAACCATGCAGAGACCAGAGAACTGGCTCCAAAGTCCTCATCTCACAGGGAGAATTCTAATTGTGATCTTTTCTTTCTCTTCCACTTTCTGCATCTATCTTAGGCTCCCTTCCTTTGTCCTTTCTCCTAAAAGGTCTTTCTTGATTATGGTCTCTGTGTGTCTCCTTTATCTTGTTAATAATAAAGGTGACATGACACTTCAGTCTTCCTCTGCCTAACTCCTGTCAGCTTCTCCACTCCTTTAGAGCATGGACAGAGAAGAGGTACACTATTTATTTGACTACCTCAAGCCCTAAAAGGCAGTACCAATGTCTCAGATTGCTTGCAAAGAAGGTCACTAACACCCTAGCTGCCTCCAGAAAAATGTGAAGAGCCACAGGAGGGTCCACCATGGGCATCCCATTCCAGACGAAGCTCACCAAGGCTCAGCATTCTGGAAGTATCACATAACAAAAATTACCTTTAGAAAAGTCAGGCTACTGTATAAGTAATGAGCGAAATAATGAATGACACAGTCCTTTCCTGTCCTGTGCACTAAAAATTGAGTCTGCCATCAGATTTTACAAGCAACTTCTACATGGATAAATAAGATCTGGAGAATTTGAGTTGTTCACCCAAGGTCACATAGCACAAAGAGGCAGAGCCAAAATTCCAACCCCTCTGTGGAGGCTGGAAAAATGAACACTATACCAAGTTCAGGCATTGCATGACCTATCCAGGGACTCTATGCAGCTCAGTCCATCTGCAGAATGACCACTCAGGCTGTTGGAGCCTGACAAACCTAGCCCACAGCCAGCACTTGCCCCATCCTGAGTGGATCAGCTGCTTAACTTCTTTTAATTCTAGCTTTGCTATCTGTAAAATGCAGGGAACAACAGTACCTACACCTTACAGTTATGAGGATAAAATGAGATGACAATGCCTTTGCTTCATGTCTGGCATGAAGTTAAGTACAATAAATATTAGCTCACGTTACGAAGATGTTAATACTCATCTAACAAGAAAAGCAATGAGGACAGGTGGAAAGCAACAGACTTCAACATCCAAACTGACTTCTGGATTTAGAAGTCCCAGATGGGTTGGCAGTAATTGTCTCTAGGCAGAACAAATAAAACATAAACGTGGGACATCTCCCATCATAACTGATTTTCACATCCCACAATCAGGAAGTTTTACATACCTCCCCAAAACCAGACATTTGGGGCTCAGTCAAAAGTAATATAATAGAAATGACCTGGATATCGTCAACTTGAAATAGAAAAACAAAATCATGTCAATGTTTTCCTGCAAGTCAAAGATTCTTTTTTTCCATTGGTAGATTTCAGCTCTCCTAAACCTTATGCTTTGGAAAATACATCCGTTTTTAAAAATCAATTCTTATACAGACATTTTGGACACAGGTACTAACTTGGAGAGAGTCTGTGCATACACAAACTCTCTCCTCAAACACCTATTAAAGACTGAGGAGGTGTGTGATAGTATGATATGTGTATTTTTGTTTTTTTTACCATGGTTCCTGGCTTGTAACTCCCTTCCCAAGGCAGGCCCCACAAATAAGAATTTCTCTTCCCTAAGACATGTCTTAGAAGCTGAAATCTTCCCCATCTCTCTAGCTTTGGGCTGGCCACGAAGAAATTTTCTGACCTCCCTTGCTAACAAGGTCTTGAGACCTTGGGGGTCTCCAGTACCTGTGCTGCACAGAGAGGCTGAGAAGCAACTGAATAGATAGGCCTTGCTGGGTTCCACACCCAATCTACTAGCAGTCTTGCCTGTGCAATGAAGTCTCCATAAAAACGCAAAGGACAGAATTCAGAGAGCTTATGAACAGCTAAGCACCCTTGAGGTTAGCACCTGGGAATGCATGGAGGCTCAGTGCCCCATTCCACATTGCCCCACCCTATACATCTCTATATCTGAATCCTTTGTCATATCCTTAATAAAACAGTAAATGCAATGTTTCTGAGTTCTGTGAGCTGCTCTAGAAAACTACTCAAACCAGAAGGTTATGGGAACCTCGATTTAGAGCCATCGAGTAAGAAGCACAGCCTCAGCTTGAGACTGGCATCTAAGGTAGGGAGGGTGGGGAGTGAGCACTCACTCAAGTCAGTGGGATCTGACTTCCTCCAGGTAGACAGTGTCAGAACTGAACTGGACTAAAGGACCCTATCTGGTATCTGCAGCAGAATGATTGCTTGCTTGCTATGGGGAGAAATTCCCACACTTTTTTGGGGGTGGGGGGGGCAGGGTGTAGGGGTGTCACAGAAGTCTTCTGTGTTTAATGTAGTGGTGTGAAGTGCTGAGGAAAAAAAAAGATTATTGGCTTTTCCAATAGGAGGTAAGTAGCATAAGGCTGAAATTTAGTCAACTATGGACATTAAAAATTACCTTCAAATGTCGTAGCTAAGAAGCTACACTGTGTTTGAAATGTCAAAGTGTTGTTTCTAAACCAACAGCTTCAAAGAAGTAACTCAAGTCTCAAGAGCTACAGCAATAAACAATGAAGCATCCTCCCTTTTCCCCTTTCTTTCAAAAGCATTAACCTTTCCACATTTCACCCTTAATAATACACACAGTTCATGCACGTCATAGCCCACGTGGCTTCTTTCACTCTTAGAAGTCCCAACATCTGGCATAAAATAAATACACACATCTTGCAAAAATCAATCCTAAATTTAATTTTAACCCTTTCTCTGCAAGACAGTTATAAGGAAAAGCTCTATTTAAAGAAAAAAAACAGAGGAGTTGTTTTCTTCTGTACTCTTGCTGTGTGGACCCTGTTGCATATATTCTCTTAGTCCTTACTGGGGAAGGAGGGAGGAGCGAGGGACAGAGTCCAAAGCCTGGTACATGCTACTTGAGTGCTCTACCCATTACCTACACCTCTAGCCCCTAAAAGTCTTATTTTAAAGATGTGCATCTTCTGCAGAAAACTGAGCCTTCTCAGCAGCAGGACACATGGACAAGGAATTTCACACATGCTGTTTTATAAAAAGATTTACCTTTGCCTAAGATCACCTTTCTTCTTTTGTTTTTCTCTTTTCCTTACACTTGGCCACAATCCCCCCTATATACATAAAACAAACAAAGAGTCTGAAAAAGTGGCTAAGCCAAGAGAAAAACATTTCACTGGAAATGAGAAAGCCTGGGTTAGGTGCCAGTTGTAATAGGAGTGCCACGTGACACAGGGTGTGTCTCTCTCTTCTGCAGAATGACCAAGTTGTGCTGGATGAATTTAACACCCTAAGAAGCATGTAGCTGCCCAGATTCCTTATTCCCAGGAAAATGAAATCTATCTACTGACATCACACACACCTTTAAAAAGTTAGTCCCATCTTAGACAGGGAAATAAATTAACTGTAGCTAACTGTTCTGACTGTTCAGATGACGTAAGTCAAAAAATATGTCATTTCAAAGACAATGCTCTACCTTTCCAGAGTGAACAGCAGAGCAAGTGACTCTACCACCCCGGCTCCAGCAGAGGTTTCAAAGAGTGGGGCTAGATGAGATGTGGACCCTATTTCACATACTCTCATAGTCCTTATTTGGGGTGGGGGTAGGGAGAGGGTGTGGTGATAAAGCCTAGGACCTCATGCATGCTAAGCACACACTTTACCCCTGAACTAGACCTCCTGCCCCTAAAGAGCTTATTTTCTTTTTTTTTATTCATATGTGCATACAATGTTTGGATCATTTCTCCCCCCTCCCCCTCCCCCCTCCCTTACCACCCACTCCACCCCCTCCCTATACCCCCTCCCACCTCGCTACCCAGCAGAAACTATTTTGCCCTTATCTCTAATTTTGTTGAAGAGAGAGTATAAGCAATAATAGGAAGGAACAAGGGTTTTTGC